TTCTGGAAAAAAGTATGCTGATCAATAAATTACAACTAAATGCATTTTCAAGGAGGACATCAGAATTGGCAGTCTGTATATTACTTTCAGGATAGGTAAACTATCAGGTTGGAAATATAGAGCTGCCATTGCTAACCAGTTGTTAAAGGTGTAAATTTCAGACTCATCCTTTTTTTTTCCCATTAGTGAGTCATGGACCTGAAACAATCATCTACTGTATATAGCACATGCATGTCCTGACATACCTGTTCAAGCTTAGTGACTCATCAAGTAATGAGAGATAAAAATATGACAACCATGGATCATGCGCTCTGAAGAACATGTTACCAATGGCAGCTCCTGTATTTATTTTTGGACAGGTTACCCCCATTCAATAAAAACTATGCCAAGTAGTTACTTGCTGGTCAAAAGTTACTCTTCAGCTGAGTAAGGGCTGTCATCAGAAACTGTGACAAAGATACAGTTGCCTTGAAAAGGTATTCATCCCGCTTGAAATTTTTCACATTTTGTCATGTTACAACCAAAAATGTAAATGTATTTTATTGGGATTTTATGGGATAGACCAACACAAAGTGGCACTTAATTGTGAAGTGCAAAGAAAATGATAAATGGTTTTCAACATTTTTTTTACAAATAAATATCTGAAAAGTGTAGCGTGCATTTGTATTCAGCCTCCGAGTCAATACTTTGTAGAACCACCTTCGCTGCAATTACAGCTACAAGTCTTTTTGGGGATTTCTCCACCAGTTCTGTCAGATTGGATGGAGATCATCTGTGAACAGCAATTTTCAAGTCTTGCCACAGATTCTCAATTGGATTTAGGTCTTGACTTTGACTGGGCAATTCTAACACACGAATATGCTTTGATCTAAACCATTCCATTGTAGCTCTGGCTGTATGTTTAGGGTCGTTGTCCTGCTGGAAGGGGAACCTCTGCCCCAGCTTCAAGTCTTTTGCAGACTCTAGCAGGTTTTCCACTAAGATTGGCATGTATTTGGCTCCATCCATCTTCCCATCAACTCTGCCCAGCTTCCCTGTCCCTGCTGAAGAAAAGCATCCCCATGACATGATGCTGCCACCACGTTTCACGGTGGGGATGGTGTGTTCAGGGTGATGTGCAGTGTTAGTTTTCCGCCACACATAGCGTTTTGCTTTTAGGTCGAAAAGTTAAATTTTGGTCTCATCTGACCAGAGCTCCTTCTTCCACATTTGCTGTGTTTCACACATGGCTTCCCACAAACTGCAAATGGGACTTCTTATAGCTTTCTTCTTGCCACTCTTCCATAAAAGGCCAGATTTGTGGAGTGCACAACTTATAGTTGTCCTGTGGACAGATTCTCCCACCTGAGCTGTGGATCTCTGCAGCTCCCCCAGAGTTACTATGGGCCTCTTGGCTGCTTCTCTGATTAATGCTCTCCTTGCCCAGTCTGTCAGTTTAGGTGGACGGCCATGTCTTGGTAGGTTTGCAGTTGTGCCATATTCTGTTTTTGGGTTAATGGATTGAACAGTGCTCCGTGAGATGTTCAAAGCTTGGGATAATTTTTTTTATAACCTAACCCTGCTTTAAACTTCTCCACAATTTTATCCCTGACCTGTTTGCTGTGTTCCTTGGCCTTCATGATACTGTTTGTTCACTAATGTTCTCTAACAAACCTCTGAGGGCTTCACAGGACAGCTGTATTTATACTGAGATTAAATTACACACAGGTGGACTCTATTTACTAATTAGGTGACTTCTGAAGGCAATTGGTTTCACTAGATTTTAGTTAGGAGTATCAGAGTAAAGTGGGCTGAATACAAATGAATGCCACACTTTTCAGATACTTATTTGTAAAAACCATGGATCATTTTCCTTCCACTTCACAATTATGTGCCACTTTGCTTTGGTCTATCACATAAAATACGTTTACATTTTTGGTTGTAACATGACAAAATGTGAAAAGTTTCAAGGGGGATGAATACTTTCTCAAGGGACTATATCAAACTGCTACTAGATGTTCCATATTTCATAGCAGTAATAAAAGTGGCTGAAGTAGAACTCTGAACAACAAATTAATTTTACTTTTGGATAGAGTGACAAAGGGTTAGAAACTCTCGTTTTTATTTCCCCTCACGTTCTGTCCCAAGGACAAAATCTCCTCAAAAGGGACACAAACAGCAATAAAGTCAGAGAGAGGTTCCAACCTGTCTCACACTGCTAAAAATATTTAGTATTTATTACTGTCCCCACTGAAGAAATTTCTATTCACTTCCTGCCCCAGTGACATGACAAAAGTAACGGCAATCTCCTCAATGGGGAAGCAATGTTTTAGTAAAGGTTTCAAGGGAGCATGACAGTCACTAAATGAGCCACATGAAGATGTAAAGCCAAGAATTACAGTGCTCATATACTGTACCATACCAATTTTGTTATATCAGTTTATAGGCACTGAAAATGAAAGTACACATTATGCTATACATCTGTCAATTGTTCTCTTTCTTCCAGGGCTGTAACAAGGTCTTATTACAGAAATGCTGCTTGTGTTATCCTCTTATTTGACCTCACTTCTCATAAGACATTTGAGAACATCCAAAACTGGTATCAGGAAGTGATAGAGCGGGCCCAACCTCATCCACTGTTTTTCTTGCTGCTGGGAACAAAAAGTGACTTGCGGGACCTGCGAGATGTCACCCGAGAGGAGGCACAAAACACAGCAAACTCCATAAATGCTCCATATCTAGAGACATCTGCACGAACTGGCAGCAATGTTTCCGCAGCGCTCACCCTTATATGCAGAGAGCTGCTACAAGCTGCAAGAGAAGACAAACTGACAACAATGGAGCACAGCATAGTGGGATGCTCAACAGGCGATGCAGCACAGAAACAGAGAACGCTATGCATATGCTGACAAGAAGCAGGAAAATACAACTTTTCAGTTTGTTATAATAGTGTACTTCAAATGGATGTATGCATGTTCTGTTATTTAGCTGAACCTTTTCTCCAGCAGAGCAGAAATATCAAATCAGTGTTCGTGAAAAGGCAGACTATGGGCAAAACATTTTTTTACATTGTGGAGTAAAGGCATGTTATAACCCGTTAGTTTTTTTTTTTTTTCACCATCTGTGTCCCATTGGAGAAATTTCCCTTCACTTCCTGTCCTATAGCCAAACAGGCAGTGAGAGGAAATCCCTGGAATTAAAGGGAATTCCTTGGGGTTCCCAGGTCACCAGAATTAGCATCTCCACAGGAAGATTTCCTCTCTATTAGTTTTCTAGGGACAACCCAACATTTGGTATTTTCTTATACTTTCAATAATGGTAAGCAGGACAAATAGAAAGGATGAATCTTCCTAATGGGGGCACAGATAGCAATAAAAACATGACAGGGTTTCTAATCCCTTTGCACTCTATCTAAAATTAAAAAAATGCTTTTATAGTTACACTTTAACAAGGGCAGTTGTTGGACAGTAAAGACACAGATCTACTTCCTGTTTTTCCACCCGCCTTCCATTCCCAACCACAGGTGGTGATGAGCAGTATTACCCCCCGTAGCTCTTGCTCTCTGCTCTCAAGACAGTGGATATTCTGCACAGGCTATTGTAAAACAGAAAAGCATATAAAGTCTTTTTCTTTAATGTAAGCTTGGCAGCACCTTTGTTGTATATGTTTCTAAGTATCTTATCAGCACTGAGCAGAGGCAGAATACAGCCCGGCACTTCAACATTGATGAGCACATTAAAAAAATCAGGTAATGCTGTTAAGGTTGCAATAATATAACAATTCAAAGAGGAACATCTGGTTATCATAAATGCCCTTTGGGGACTATAATGGCCCATCATATAGAACAGTGGTCTCCAAGCTGCGGCCCCTTGCTTGCCTTTATCTGACCCTTTGGGCACTATTCCATCCAATGACTCCAGCAATGGGACATTATGCCTCCAAACGACACCAACGATGGGGGCAGAATTCCTATCAATGACAACGATGGGGGCACAGTTCCTCTCAATGACACCAATGATGGGGCACAATTCTTCCCAATGACACCAACGCTGGGGTACTTTTGCTCCCATTGACACCAATGATGGGGTACTATTCCTCCCACTGACACCAACAATTGGGCACAATTACCCCCAATGAGACAAAAAATGGGGCACAATTCCCATAAATGAGACCAACAATGGGGCACTTTTCCTCTCATTGATACCAACGATGGGACACTATTCCTCCCACTGACACCAATGATGGGGCACAATTCCTCCCAATGACACCAACAATGGGACACTATTATCCCCATTGATAACGATGGGGAACTATTCCTCCAACTGACACCATTATTAGGGGTACAATTCCCCCTAATAATGCCAACAACGGGCACTATTCCTCCCAATGACATCACTTACGTGGCACAATAGCTTCAATGACACCAATGATGGGGTGTTAACCCCCCCACACACCAAACCAAAGATGGGGCTTTGTTTACTACCACTGATGCCAATAAATTTTCTGCTTTCACTTGCCCGAGTCTGGCCCCTAAAGTCTGAAGGACAGATCTGACCCTTTGTTTAGAATAATAGGTTACACAGCAAAGTTACATATATGTACTTGTATGGGTACTTTTACATACATATTTGTAAATGGTTTCAGACATTCTTCTCTTAAATAAACTTCTATTAACATTTACTATTTTTAAGCAAAGCAGTTCTCTGGTATATTTTTGGCCTTCCCTGAAAGAAGATCCTTTGGTTTCTATGGTAATGTCACACAAAGACCAAGCGTGAATTACAACAACAATCTTTAATCAAACCACTTTCTGTTATATATACAAAAGGAAAACGACAGTGTAACACTCTCCCTGCCAGAGGGTTCTGTAATGCAGGACTAATAAAGGCAAGTCCACATTACTAGATGTGCAGTCTCTGTCCAAAAATGAGGCTCTTCTCTGAAGAGGAGAGGCTTCTGCATCAGTTCACTGCAGAATCATGGCGTCAACTTGGGAGTGCTGACCAAGAAAACAACGTCGTCTACTTCTTCTGGGTCTTCTTAATGAGGGCCATTCTCTGTGGTACAAAACCAGGCATATGCTCATCAGAAGGAGAGTTAAGAAATTTATGACAGATCATCTGTACTACATAAATACTAAACAATCGGTATAATGAATGTGCTACAAAATGTGACCATTGTTTTAATGTGTGTGGACAGAAAACATATTCATATTGATGAAGATCAGTGAGGAGGAAGCAAATATGTTAATAATCACGTTCAGCTCCTTGCCTATTATTCACAGCAAGTGCACAGATCTTTCTTCTGTTGGTATCATAGTAAACCTCCAAATGTATGGAGAGAACTTTTGTCTAACACACGACAGGTTGTGGTACCTGCTGAGGCACTAGAGCAGAAAATATTATTGTTTAAAAAAAAAAAAAAAAAAAAAAAAAAAGGACTATGGGATGGTTACCAAGTCAAAACCAAGATATCATCTGCATGGAGTTTCTACACTCTCCCTCTACATTCCTCCAAGTAACCAAATCTTCTCCCAAAATCTAAAAATATAGTGGTTGGCCAGTTGGCTTCCACCCAAATTAGCCTCGCAATATATGCATGTGCAGGACTGATGTAGGAACAATATAGCTTTGCTCCTTCTGTTAAAGTAATGTACAATGTCAATGTTATTTAAACATACTTTAACAAACTCAGGAATAATCGCAAAGTAAAGTTTGCATCCCCACCTCACCTGAAAATATCTGAAAGGAGCTCAATAATAAATTATGCTGCTTTAGCTTGCAAATAAAACAAGCAACTAAGTATGGTTTACAATGAAAGTAATTCCCAGAGATAACTGGAAGACTGAGGAAGGAGACCTTCCAGATTATCAGAAGGATACAAAATTTTCTTCAGGTCTTGGAATGCTCAGTGAGCTTTTATATCACTCTAATCCTGGGTTCACACATATGCAGTCTGGCATAACGCATGTAATTTGCACAGGAAGAGCACCGCATTCCTGTGCAAATCACATGCGAATTCTGTGCAGTGCGATTTAAGCCATACATTTTATATGATTGAAATCGCACCGCATCCGCACTAAAAAGGTGCAGGACCCTTTTTTTGGTCCACACTAGAATCAGTTTGCATGGGTATTCACACCCATGCGATCCTATTCTGCACATCGCAAAGTGTTTTGCAAACAGATTTTGGGGTGTTAACTAAACATACACACCCGCAGCGGTTTGCATGAACGAGACGCGATTGTGATGTTTTCCAAAGTGAAATATACAGTCTTATGTAATGTACATATAAACACTCCAGAAGCCCTGACAAGCCCCTTTTTACCTGTTTATGGGCCTCAGTTGTGCATGCCTTCTTATAGGGCCTAATCTCTTCTGATCCGAACCCTGGGATCCACATGTTCCATTGTCGTTCTGGGTGGATGACAGAAAAGTTAGTGTCCTGCCTTACACATGTAGAACTGTTGAATTCCTATGTCTATAAAGTTCTTTTCATAAACAAAACTCTTGAACCCACATGAATATCCAAGTGATTCTGACTGTTGCTATGTGGAAGGAATGCAAGTCTTACAAACATATAAGGCAGATGATTATTGTGCTTAACTTAATAACTATGTGTCATTTGTTATGTAAACATAATAATACAAAATAACTATGTATCATTTAAATTGTAACCTTTTTTAGCTTTGGACAGTGTGGGAGAATTAAAACCCCTTTTAAGGTTTTTTTCCCCCCAAACATTTGTATTTGACAAAAGGTTAAGAGCTCTCAAATTCATATTACAGTATAATTCAGTACATAGAGACATTACACTTAAAAGGTTTTACTGTATAACAAATAGTTTATAAGATTTGTAGGCCAGATGCAACTTTAAAAAGGTGTGACGAACGTCTCTATGCAGTGTGCTTTTCAGGAAAAGAGGTATGAAGCAGGGGATTTGGAAAGTTGGGAAAATGTTTGGGAGCATAGATAGGATAGAATCCTGGGGGTGCGGTCCCTTTTCCTTATGGGTCCTCTGCCTAGAGGTATTTTATCCAGGAGTTCCAGACTATATAAAAGTAGTTGAGCTAATTGTTTAGTATTTCTAAAAATTTGTTGTTGATCGTAGTCCATACTAGGTTTGTTTTAACTAGTTCAACCGAATATTGGAAGACTTCCATGATCTAGCCATCATTATTCTATCAGCTTGGATTATATATGCGATAATTTTTCTGTTAGGTCTGGGTTCATTCCTGAAAGGTTTGGTCAGCAGAGCTTCTAGAGGGCATGTGTTTAAAAAATCTCACAAGGAAATTAATAAAATTGTAAATCCCAAATCTTCAGACAGGTCCCCCCTAAGTATGAATTACTTTCTTTGTCTACACCCTCTAAAGCAGTTGGGGGAAGCATTTGAGACATTGGCTGCTGTTCGTGAAGACACCATATAACACCTCATGAGGACTTTACAATTTACATTGATTTTCACATTTCATTCAGAGAGGTATTTATGTATATATATTATATATTTTGGAGGTAAAAACTATTAGTTTTGCCATTTTCCTATTCCCAGTTCTCTCTAGGGTCATGTTCCTATTTGAGCATACAGGGGAGTTTTGTTGAAAGGTACGATAGAATATTATACATAGATGAGATATGTCCATGCATTGTTAAAATGTATGAAGATATTTTCGATTGCAGCCATAGTAGGGTTTTCTCCTTGATTCATGAAGGGGGCTGTGAAATGTTTTATTTGACCATACCTGTACCATTTCATGTTTAGGAGACTGTAGCTGTCTTGCAAAATATTCTCTTGTGAGAACTCATTGGAGTGTGCAAATGTCTGCTATCCTGGTAAGTACTTTTTAGTCCACCAAGAACAGATTTTGGATTCAAGAACTGGGATAAAGCATGCACTATATAAAAGGGGAGCAAAAAAAGTTATGCGGGCTGATTTAAATTGTGTTTGTAATTTAATTTGTCCAGCATTTTAAGTGAGAGTGATGAGCGCTGTGTAGTGGGTGTATATCTTACAAAACATCTGCTGCTTGCAGGGAACAAGCCAGAGCTTCAGACTGGGTCCTTAAAGGACAAGTTCACCTTCTGAAAAAAAAAAAAAAATAAATAAATGCACATTTTTTTTGCAGGTACAAAAATGTGCATTTATAATTTTTTTCTAAGGAGATTGCAGAGCATTGAGGGTGCAATCTCAGGCTCCTGAAGACTCTCTACATAGCTGTCTGTACTTGTACGGGGCAGGCAGTTACCCAAGAGCAAGAAGCTTAATGGGCTATAAGAGTGCTCACCAGCGCCCTTGCAGTTCATTGAGAACTAGAAGCCATCAGCCACAATGGATGATGGTACTCATTCACAGGAAACTATGAACAAATGAATGATTCGGCTGTGTGGGCGGAGCACACATTATTTTCAAATTGTGACAGTAGGTGCAGGGAGAAGATCCCCCGCCCACTGTCAAGGGGGATGGGGGAGGCATGAAATCAGTGGGAAAGGCTGCAGCTTCTGGAACATGTTACACAATACAAAATGATGGAACATTTAACATGTTCCAAAAGGAGAACTTATCCTTTAATAGTTTATCATAGTGTGAGCAAAATGTTAGTAGTTGGGTTAGCTGAGAGATTAAAGTATTTTAGCAAGCTCAGCATCCCTAGGCTTCCTAATTATTTGGGGGGTGTAGAGTGTCCATTTGTTAACTTTAGATCTTTTTTTCCCCCAGATGAATTTAAACACCTTAGCTTCGGGAAAAAAAAAAAAAAAAAAGATCTTTTGTTTGATACCTATCTGGAGCATTTTAAAATAACACAATACCTTAGGTAGGATATTCATTAACGGTATTCAGTCTCCCAAACCAAGAAGGCAGTGCTTGAGCCCATTTGTCTATGGCTGGCCATAGACGAGCCGTTTATCGGCCGAATTGTCGGCAGATAAATGAAAAATCGGTCGTTGCTGCCATGGATGCTGCCACCAATGCTTACGAAAAATGGCCGTTTTTTTGTGGATTTTCCAGCATGACCGATAAAAAGAAATGAGAACATCTGCGAAAAACGGTCAATGGCATTGCCCCTCTAACGGTGTGAATATCGGCCGATTTTTCGTTCGGACGAAAATTTGGCCGATAAATGACCCGTCTATGACCTGCATAAGTCTTCACATAATTGTTAAATAGGGGAGTGTAGTTGTGTTGATACAGTATGTAGGGTGAGGGCCACATGAATATTTCTAGATATGGTATGGAAATGGATTACCAAAGATTGTAGGCTTTTACAAGTGCAACTTTGATCTGGAAATAAGTAAAATGCCAAATACAGGTCCTCCAAATATAAACTCTAAAAATCATGAATGTCAATCTAAATGCCACATTTTGACATCTTAAGCCCCATCCGAATTGCAAACAAGAGTACAATAAGTAAAATGTACCTAGATGAAGCTGAACATCTTTAACTTCCAATGTGTTTGATCTACGATGTCGGGCTAGCTGGCAAGCTGCAGACACCACGCTCTCAATGAAATCATCTGCTATCTGCAACAGCATCTGAAGTAAGAGAAATCATCATGAGTCACCAAGCCACTTAAGTTCAAAACAATGTTAATTTGCTTTTACGAATGTCTTACCTCCTCCACATCCTCATCTAACTGTTCATTTGGATCAATCTCTCTGACCAAATCGTGAAGCTTTTTCTTAGTTAATACCTGAAAAGCAGTAACAAGAGTTAAAAAAAAAAAAAACCAAACCATACATTATCTTGTGATAGAGCTGACAAATCCTGTTAGCAGAATGTTTTCACAGAAACACCACTGTCTGTACTAATCACTCAATTTCCGCTCTTGATGGTGGAGCAATGCAATATAAAGGCTTAATGATTTTACAGTTATATATTCAGAATATCCACTAACTCCCTTTACCATACATAGTCAAGCACAAAGACACTTTGAACGTTTGAATTCATCGATCACTTTCACAAAAACCATTAGGTGTGCATATTTTTGAGGTACATAGAAATGCCAGACACAAACAGAGTATCTGGAATGTTGTAGTACACACTACAACAAAAAAAAGCATAGGGAAATGTAAACTTTTTTTTCCTGTTAGCTGTTCCAGTTAGAGGTATTTCTAATCTGGTCAAATGACTACTGTTGCCCAATGCACATGACAAACATCGGAGTTCCATGAGTACCTTAAAGTACTAGTCACAGTTTGGATTTTTGCAAGAACATTCACGGTAAGATTATTCTAATTAAGCAGGCTTACTTATGAAAGATTTGTATCTTGCCTATTTATTTTTTATATACATTACGTAGCCTCTAGCGGTTTAACTTAATTACATAGTTAGGTTTGTTGAAGAAAGACACAAGTCCATCTAGTTCAACCAAAAAAATGAAAAAAAAAAAAAAAAATTAAGCAATCCTATACCCACAGCTGATTCAGAGGAAGGCAAAACCCCCCCAGCAAAGCATGATCCAATTTGCTCCTGCAGGGAAAAAAATCCTTCCTGATCCTCCGAGAGGCAATCTGATATTCCCTGGATCAACTTTACCTATAAAATGTTAGTATCCAGTTATATTGTGTACATTTAGGAAACAATCCAGGCCTTTTGTAAAGCAATCTACTGAGCTGGCCAGAACCAACTCTTGAGGGAGTCTATTCCACATTTTCACAGCTCTCACTGTGAAGTAGCCTCTCTTTTCCTCCAGACGTAAAGAGTGCCCCCTTGTCCTCTGTGATGACCTCAGGGTGAATAGCTCTACACCGAGTTCACTATATGAACCACTGATGTATTTATACATGTTGATCATATCACCCCTTAATATCCTCTTCTCGAGAGAGAATAAATTCAGTTCCTCTAATCTTTCCTCATAGCTGATCTCCTCCATACCTCTTATCAGTTTGGTTGCCCTTCTCTGTACTTTCTCCAGTTCCCCAATGTTCTTTTTGTGAATTGGTGCCCAAAACTGAACTGCATATTCCAGATGAGGTCTTACTAATGATTTTTACAGGGGTAAAATTATCTCTCTCTCTCTGGAGTCTATATCTCTTTCTCTGGAGTCTATACCTCTTAATACAAGAAAGTATTTTGCTCGCTTTGGAAACTGTAGCTTGGCATTGCATGTTAATAATAGGCTTGTGATCTACCATCGTGGTCTCCAAACTGCGGCCCTTTACTTGCCTTTATCTGGCCCTTGAGCCACTATTCCTCCCAAATACAACTGTGCATAATTCCTGCCACTGACATCAACAATGGGGCACTATTTCTCCCGCTAGCATCAATGATGGGGAACCATTCCTCCCACTGACAGCAATGATGGGGCACCGTTTCTCCCACTGACACCAAATACTCATCCACCTAATACTAAAGATAATGCATTGTTTACTGTCTCTGATGCCAGGACATCTTCTACTCCCACTGGCCATGGTCCAGCCCCCCAAAAATCTGAAGGACATTGGCTCTTTGTTTAAAAAGTTTGGAGACCCCTGATCTACCAGAACCCCCTGATCCTTCTCCAACATTGATTCCCCCAGTTCTACCCCCCTAGTATGTATGATGCATGCATTACATTTATCAACATTAAACCTCATTTACCACCCAGTTGTCCAATTAAATCGTGCATTGAGGTCAGCTTTTAAAGTGTTACTAAACCCATAACAGTAAAATCAGTCTGTATATGCAGTAAAGCATGCTTGATATACTCACTATTAAACCTAAGGGGTTCATTCTCTGCATTGTGTAAAAAGTCTGTTTGATCCTGTTTTCTCTGATCCTCCCCTTCTTTTACTGTCCCCAATCCATCTGCTGATAGAACAGAGCCTTGGAGGCAAGCTGCAAATGCTCAGTTTAGTGTGTATTGCTAGAGTTTTTTTTATTCTTTGGGAGGGTGCATCTGATCAAGACAGGGCCAATCAGCACTGTCCAGACAGAGGTCAGGGGTTCTGCAGCCTCAAAGGACAGTCAGAGAAGAATGAAAACTCCTCCTACAAGCTTTAACCAGTGCTTTGCTAGACACTGATAGAAGTTCCAAGACTGCTATATACTGCTGATGAGAAAAGTAAAATAATTGCATTTCCATGTTCTGTGTACTGTAGACCAAATATAGTGAATGCAGGGTCCTGGGTTTAGTAACACTTTAAGTTGGACACATTCTGTAAGGACGTTATTCCACTGCATAGCTTTGTGTCATTTGCAACACTGAAATAGTAATACCGGACCCTATATCATTTATAAATATATCAAAAAGTAAGGGTCCCAACACTGAACCTTGGAGTACACCACTGACAACCCTAGACCATTCAGAGTATGAAGCATTAACCACTACTCTTTGAATACGATCTTTTAGCCAGTTTTCTATCCATTTACATACAGATTTTTCCAAGCCCTTAGACTTTACCTTACACATTAGCCGTGTGTGGGGAACTGTGTCAAACGCTTTTGTAAAATTCAAATATACTATGTCCCCAGCCACCAAAGTTTTGCTCACCTCCTCATAAAAAGAAATCAGATTTGTTTGACAACTTCTGTCTTTCATGAATCCATGCTGTCTGTTGCCTAAAAAATATTTTTTTTTCAGCAAGAACTCATCTATGTGGTCTTTTATTAAACTCTCCAGTATCTTCCCAACTATAGAAGATAAACTAACAGGTCTATAATTACTTGGTAAAGATTTTGATCCCTTTTTAAATATTGGCACCACATTGGCCTTACACCAATCCAGTGGTACTATGCCAGTCATTAGAGTCCCTAAAAATTGGAAACTATGGCTTTGAAATGACAGAGCTCAATTCTTTAAGGACCCATGGCCATCCGGTCCAGGTACTATATTCACCTTTATTATGAAATAACAAATATTTCTGGACCATATAAATTTTGAGCCATTGTAGATCATCTGGAGCTGTATCAATATCATCCCAGTTATGGACAGGATCACCCTCATGATCCTTTGTATACACAGAGCTGAAGAAGTTATATACATTTGCCTTCTCTTTGTCCCCAGTCACCCACTGTAGATAAGGGCCTACATGCTTAGACCGGACCTTTTTACTATTAATATATTTGAAGAATTTTGGGGGGGGGGTGGGGGTGGGGTTTGTTCTACTTTTTTTCCAATCTGTTGTTTGTTTTGAATTTGTGTCCTTGACTTGCTTTTTACATATTTTGTTATATTCTTTGTAACATTTAAATGATGATTGTGTTCCTTCATTTTTATATTGAAAGCCTCATCCTTGGAAAATGTGCTCTCTTGGAGCTGGTTCACACTATAGAAACACAGTCCAGATGCATTCTTGATGCGTTTTTGCATGCGTGATTCAGTTCATTTTCTCCCCCTCTCTTTTTCTTCAATGTAAATAGAGACGTGCGTTCCTGTGCATTTTCGATGCATTGTACCACGTTCCAGTACAGTTCTGTGCAGGAAAAATGCAGCCTGTTCTACTTTTTTTTCTGCATCCGGAACTGCAAGCACTGATGTGAACTATGACATTACAAGCCTATAACCCAATTTCTGTGCATTTTGGATGCAGAAAAAAAGCACACTGAAATGCATGTAGTGTGAACTGGCTCTTAAAGTTAAGTGTTTTTATTTTTCCCGTACGTGCTCGCTGTTTACAGCTAACATTACATGAAATCATGTTAAGATCACTGCTACTCAAATGTTCTTTTATATGAATATTAGTAATAAGCTCTGCATAGTTTGAGATTACCAGGTCCAGCAGAGCATCATTCCTAGTTGGGGCCTCTATGAACTGTACCATAAAAATGTCTTGCAATAGGTGTTTAAATTTTTGCCCTTTAACTGTTCCAGCAGTCCCAGTACTCCAATTAATATCAGGATAAAATCCCGCATCATTATCACTGTGTCAGCCCTTCCAATCTGTGCAAGGAGCTGAGTCTCCACCACCTCGTTAACACTCAGTGGCCTGTAACAAACGCCAAGGATTAACTTTGCACTACGCACATCCATATGCAGTTCCACCTGTAATGCTTCAGCTTCATCACACTCTCCATCAACCAGGTCCACTTTCACACTCACTTTGAGATCACTTTTCACATAGAGACAGACACCACCACCTTAACATAAAATATTTTACCTGGTTGGCATCTGGACTTGCTCGTCCTCCTCCTGGTGTTGTGACAGGTACTTTGCTTCCAGAAGTGCTGTTGACCACAGTTTGCTCTTGTTTCACAGTGGCTGAGGCAGACATGGTGGAGGCAGTTGAAAAGTTAGACAGGTTGATGAGTGTGGAAGCTCCGAATTGGTTCATAATCTGGAGAGCTTTACCCCTCAGCTCACCCAAACGGGAAACGTCAGCACGCTGCTTTGGGGTGTGGGGCCCAGGCCCGAGAAGCTGTAGAAATAGCAAAAAAAGGGAAGAAAAAAAAAATAAAGAGAAAATTACATTGTAGAGTGCCCTTTTTGGACAGAAGCAATTTTCACTTAAGCTGAACTCTAGGGGCTACCCCTGCACTGCAAGGAGTAACTGCTCATTCAGTCTCGGGCAGGGGTCTCCAAATTTTCAAAGGGCCAGTATACTGTCCTGCAGACTTTAGCAGGGCCAAATCTGGGCCAGTGAGGATAGAAAATGTCCTGGCCCCAGCATCAGCAAGAATAAACATAGCCTCAGGGTTGTTGGTCAGTAGGAGGAAGAGTAGTGCCCCGCCATTGGTATTAGTGGGAAGAATAGTACACCATCACTGGTTTCATGGGAAAAAGTATTGCCCCATTCTTGGTCTCAGTGGGAGGAATAGTGCCCCAAGGACCAGATAAAAGGTCGCAAAGGGCCACATCTGGCCCTCAGGCCGCAATTTGGAGACCCCTGGTCTAGGGGATTGAAAAAGCGCTTTTATTTACCCAATCCTCTACTTCCCTCTGCTCCAGCAGTGGACTGTCTTTTGGTATCCTCACGTCCAGTGCAGGGATATGGTCTCTGCAATGGCCTTGATGACCTCAAGGGCCAATCACTAAATTGCAGGGGAGAAGATGCTGCATGGAGGGAGCCTGTGGAAGTGGAGGATCAGGTAAGTAAAACTGCTTTACCTGGTCCCCCCTCGCTGTAAATGAGCAATTAATGCCAACAGTGCAGGCGTAGCCCTACTGAAGGGGAGGATTTTGATTTCCCAGAGTCCAGCTTTCATTTTTGCAAAAAAACAAACAAACAATATTTAAATATGATAATATCAGTGTTCAAGTGCATTAGCCATCCTCATGACCCACAAAAACCCAACATAATTGATGCAATCAGGTACAATACATTTTGAGCATGCCCATATGACAAGAAGACAACAGCAGCCACTGGCCTGTATGTGAGACAACACCGCAAATTGTGGAGGAACTGACACATTCAATTTTCCTAAATTCTAAACAAATTTTTGTGGCCAAACTATACAGATTAGAGTTTGCGTGTGAAAATCAGCAGAAAGGAAAGAAGGCAGCATCAGACTTCATCTGGTAAGTTGTTTCCTCTACTTGAAGTAGACGGTTGGCTCATGAAGATTCAACTCCCACCCCACCTTTTGTGTTATTTTTCTTCAAGCTTACATGTTCCTTGCTGTTACTTTACATATTTAAAATCCATCAAAACTTAAAGCGGTTGTAAAAGCTCAGGGTTTTTTACCTTCATGCTTTCTATTCATGAAGGTAAAAAAACCTTCTGTATGCAGCAGTGTCCCCAGCCCCCTCAATACTTACCTAAACCCCATCAAGATCCAGCGGTGTGCACGTCAGCTTTGGCTGTCCCGGGTCTCTGCCTCATCATTGGCTGTCAATCACAGCCAATGAGCAGAGAGAGGGGGTGGGGCCAAGCCACGGATCCATGTGTGAATGGACACAGCACAGCGCAGGTATGTATAGATATGTTTTCCATTTTACAAAAAAAAGAAAAGAAAAGAACCTTTAGTATCGCTTTAATAATACCTACTCACCCAAAAAAAAAGAAAGCAGATGTGCTATCATCAGCAAATATACTAACTTTAATTGTCATTTTACTAATGCGTGTTGGAAAATGAGCGCAAACGTGATTAATTACAGCCAGCTGCTTACACAAATAAGGTTATTAGACGCAGTCCTTCTTAGTATGTTTAGAGAAAGATGGAAACACCATACAAAAATCTAGCTCTTGAATCTAATAATAAACAGGGGAGCATTTACAGGATTTATGTCAGTTAAAGGAGAAGTGTGGGAAAAGGAAAAAAAAAAAAAAAATATACTGTATACTCACCTCCCTGCTGCAGCATCAGTCTGATGTTGCAGCTGTCCCTGTCGACTCTAAGCCCAAGAACGGAGCGATCACCTAATGGCTGATCACTCAGTTCTTGGTCTGCTCTGAGCAGTGACTGTCAGTCACCACTCTCTCTTCTTCCCTTCCAGTGCTTAGGCTCATTGTAAACTCCCCTGTCAGTGTTAAATGGTTTTTCTCAAATCTAATTGCCATTTTGCTGGACCGCTTGGTCTGTTTAAGCGGAGTTCTACCCAAAAGTGGAAGCTCCTCTTGCTTGCCTACTCTGCCCCTCCATTGCCATATTTAGCACCTTTTGAGGGGGGCGGGGGTTTTTGACGGGTACCCGCTCCCACTTCTGGCTCAGTTCGCCATGGCAAAGTGAGCCAGAAGTTTGACCCCCTCGTTCCTCCAGCAGTCTCCTCAGAAACTTCACAGGTGCCAGAAGACTGCCGGACCAATCAGAATGTGCAGTGCGACTCGCGCATGCGCAGTGGGCACCCGGCTGTGAAGCCGCAAGCTGTCACAACCTGGTGCCCACCATAGTTGAGATGCCGGTACCGTGGAGAGAAGAAGGCGAGAAGGGATGGCGCGAAGGCGAGAATGGATGGACCCTGGGACAGGTAAGTGTGTTTATTAAAAGTCAGCAGCTACAAAAACTGTAGCTGCTGACTTTTAATAAAACACAAATACGTCTGGAACTCCACTTTGAAGGAAATTAAAGTGGTTCTAAAGTCATAATATTTTTGCATTTTCTGTATTAGGATAAAAAATGTCCCAGGAGCAGTATGGCCAGGAGCCATTGGCTCCTGCGGCTGTCAATCAAATCCTGCGGGCAGAGAGCAGGGACAAGGCTGAGCCCCACGCTGTGTCTATGTATGGACACAGTCTGGCTCTGGAACGAGCCCTTACCTCTGTCCCCATAGCAAGTGGTTTGCTATAGGGCAGACACAACAGAGGAGGAGCAGAAAGTGCCGACAGGGGACCACAGAAGGGGTTGTCTGGGGCTGCACTACGTGATACTATTGCACAGAGCAGGCAAGTATAACATTTTTTTTTTTAATTTATTGAAAAACATTTTATCCTTTAGAACCACTTTAAAAAAAAACAGAATTACTGTCCAGATTAAAAGGAAATAAACTATGTTATGGATAAACAAAGACTGTAGTATTGATGCTAGTGACAAACTGTATCATAAACAGTAAAAGTTTTTAATTTGGCCATAGTGTCACTTTAAATCCAAGTATCATATGACGAGTAAAAATGTTGAAAAGGTTATACTTGAATTCCCATGTTGTTGATTTGATCATGTTTCAGAAACTCTATACCTTGTTAGTCAGCAAATTCACCAAGGGTTTGAAATAGTCAAAACCTTCAGAGAGAAGAACATATCAGATCAATGAAACAAATGTAGCAAAGACTGAATATCTCCCACTTGGCTCACTTGCAGTTCTCCACAAGGTCTAAAGATCTGATCCTGGTCTATGATTCCCCCCCCAAAAAACAAATTAGACATACAACATACTGTATATCAGTAATTTAAACAGGAAAATTCTATAATAAAAGCAGACTTAAAATTTTTACTGTGACTGCTGACATTAAGGCTGCTTTCACACTGAGTTTTTCAACCGTTTTTTGTGTTAAAAAAAGTGCCTGAAAAGCTCAAGAAAACTGCTTCCCTGTGTATGAGAATGTATATCTATGTATGTTTTCACACTAAGGCATTGCGCTTACGGTGCGGTGCAAAAACTCCTGCTTGCAGCATCTTTGGGGAGTTTAAAAAGTGCTAAATACGCCCTGTTCCCATTCAACTCAATGGAAAATGCCTGAAAAGCGCCTTAAAAATGCCTCTAAAAAGTCACATGTCCTTTAAAAACCACCCAAAAAGCATATCAGTGTGTAAGTAGTCTAATATGCTGAAAACCACTGGCGTTGACAACATGGTAGCATTCAGAAAAAAATGATCTGGTGATCAAGATTACATTTATGTCATATTAGATGGATAACAAAAATTATTGGGTGCTACACATGGGTGACAGAATGCCAAACTCAAAATGTTTCTATAATCTGTCTTTCACAAGAAACACGACTTAAAAACTTTAATGCTGCCTGCAATGAGGTTGATTTACTAAAAAGGTTGAGAATGTTCACACAAAGTGTAAAGCTTCACTTCTTAACTTAACACTCGCCTACCGGGCACTTTTACCCCCTTCCTGCCCAGGCCAATTTTCAGCTTTCAGTGCTGTCACACTTTGAATGACAATTGCTCGGTCATGCAACACTGTATCTATATGAAATTGTTATAATTGTTTTCACACAAATAGAGCTTTCTTTTGGTCATATTTAATCATCACTGTTTTTTTATTTTTTGCACTATAAACGAAAAAATACCGAAAATTTTGAAAAAGAAAAAAAAAAAAAAGTTTTCTTTGTTTCTATAAAATTTTGCAAACAGGTAATTTTTCTCCTTCACTGATGTGTGTTGATGCGGCTGCACTCATAGGTAGCACTGATGCGCACTGATGAGGCGGCACTTTTGGGGCTGCACTGATAATCTGTGTCCTGATTATTAGTGCACGTTTCCTTTGACAATTGCCAGTTATCGGCAGTACTTTCCTCACGCTGTGACAGCATGAGGAAACTACTGCCGATAACCGGAAAGTTTTTAAGTATTTACATGGCGATCAGTTGTAATTGGACACAGATGATCATGTGGTATTTTACCATGTCATGTGATCAGCTGTGTCCAAAGGACACAGCGATCACAAACAGCGGCGGGTGCCCTTATGACTGCCTTTGCAGCTTGTTGCGGGGGGGGGGGGGGGGGAAGTTAAGAAACAGTAAAAGCACATCTTAGCCACCTGTTTTTACCACTCCCCCCCAACCACAAGTATAAGCAAGGCCCTTGTTGGGTTTGTTCACATAGGTGGACCAAGGGTGCTAAAAGCCAGCAGTTGAGCAAAGTTTTTACCACACCCCAACCACCGACCTGAACAGAGATGTAGCTGTTCTGTACACATAACCACAACGCTTGCATTCACAGGGTTGGGTGGAAGGATATTTTAAAGACCTACTACAGCCAAAACATTTTTTTTTTGTTTTGAATAAAATGGGGAAGTTTTAGAATCTCTGGC